TAAATTTCTGATTGATCTATGAATGCATTTGAGGAAAATTATAATCAAAGACCAGATAATGTATGCTTTATTTACCATGTAAATTCACTTTGTACGCATATAACATCACACTTTAAATGTCATTGACAGTCACAAATTAAACACGATGTAAAAAAAGGGCAATAAGTTGAATTCAGAACATACAATTTTTTTTTTCACTATGCAAAATCCATATTGTGTTGTGCTAAAAAAGATGCAAGATCTAGCCGTCAGCTACTTGTGTCATACTGTGTGTTTTTTCTCTCCTCCACTGATTGGCATTGGCAAGCAATGTACATACTCACAGTATGGTAACAGCTTGTAGTATGTCACAAGGGTCAAAGGTCATTGTATTTAGCGTGAAAACCCAACAATTCAGTCACTAGTACACGTGTATACATCAATCTGTCTTTTCAAATGTTAAATAATTATCAGTATTACAACAATTAGACATGTGATTCCAGCCATCTCTTTCAGTAAGCGATTATTTATTTTATTTTCTATCTGTTTTATCTGCTTCTCATCAGTGCACAATAGTATTATGGCTATAAACCATCATGATATTCCCACTTTTCTCGTGCTGCATATAACCTTGTTTTCAGTAATACTGTTATGGAACAATTAAATTATTCTCATTCATTTCAAGACTAAACATTTTCAAACCCAGGTACATGTAGTACAATATTAAATTAGTGTTAAATGAAGCATGCATATTATTTTCCATCATTACTACCATTATTGGTGTACATTTGTTTTGCTTTTAGATTGATTGTTGTGCTTTTCCTTAGCTTATTAAATACTAAACAATACTATAGCTGTAAGTACCCTGCAGTTAGGTTTTCAAGGTGAAAGGAATTCATATATATTATACATGACAATGCATGACAACATGTATACACACCATATTTTGTCAAGCTGTTCTAGATATGTTCCCTGTTTATTAAAGATGCCTATTGATACAAATATGGACAGCATTGTCAGCATGATATAGTTAACAGGATTGCTTAGTTCATCTGTCATTTTCTATATATCAAAGATCTAAAGAATATAGAACTACTTATCATAATAGTAATGCTTTCTATATTGCTGAATTACTATCTAGTGCACAATGTACACATGGACAGAATATTTTTAGTGTAAATTATTTGATGTAGTTTTGAAGGACAAAAATTACTTAATGCGATGTTATTTTGGCAAAATATATTAAACTATATTGATGCCCATTTACATTTTTTTATGGAAATGTATGCAACATTGGGAGATAATGCATGGCAGTCGTCGTTGATATTAACACCATGTGTATTATGGTTTGACCAAATAACTGTTAATTTGCAGAGTGACATTGATATGTATACTATAGGTCAAGCAAAATATTACTATTAATTATTGCTGTCATTTTAATAATGAGAAACATGCACTATAGGTTGACTACATGCTTTCCCTGTCAAAATATGTGAAAATGGGACTGCTAATGATTTTGTATGTTTTCCCTATTGTGGGGGTTTGCACCATATGTCTGTAGTACAAAACATGTGTAATCTACCTTGAGTTCATGTTATTGAACTTGTAAACATTCTTTTTGGCTGAGTAGCTTCCATGTTTCTGATACTATACAAGTAGTTTCCATGTTTCAGATACTATACGTTTGACAGCTCAGAATTACATGACTTCAATGATATTTGCTACGTTCTCACGGCAGCATTCTATCAGCCGAACTTCTGCTCCTCCCATCGAATTAACAGGAGATTATCTCCAATGCGTTCACACGGTCGGGCCGAACAAGAGCTGCGATCTGCCAGAGTTCAATTCATTTCGATCAGAGCCAAGCGGAACAGTGCACTCAAAAAAACGGCTCGAGCCTTAGGGCTCTGATAAAATGTTGTCGTGTGAACATAGCGATTATTTTTCACCTATCATTCTTATCTTGGTCTTGTTTTGTCAGCAAATTAACTTTAATATGCTAAATATTTAACCAGTTATCTTTAAATAAACTTTGATTTGTGATAAAACCATGCACAGAGATGAAAAAATCAAATACTGTGAGGGGATCGTCCAGTTGGTTACTTTCTTGGTTGAGCATTTACAATTGTTATACTGTATGTATTGCTTGTATTGCTCGCACACATGTATCAATTCAGCATAGTTGAATAGTTATAGTGCATTTGCACCATTTTGATTTTTAAATAACCGATTGACATTTTTAAATTTGACATCTATCTGTGGTATTCATTTTCAAATTTGAAGTTTGGGCTTTTTATTTGACAGTGTTATTTTCTTCAGCTGTGTGTGCTGTGTGCAAACCTTGCATTTCGTCCTTTATATCAGTGATAGGTCAAAGTTCAATGACGGCATAACCTTTTTGTTTTCATGTTGGGAGAGGTACTCTGTAATCATTCAGAATAATCAATATAGTAAATTGAAATATAACACTGTAGAATAGAACATGCAAGGAATCCTATACTAGAATACAAGACGTACTGTCTCCTTTGCATTATGAGGGTCAATTTATTTCTTCCTGAATGCCCCAAAGACATTCTGCTCATATTCATATTAACATTTGAATAATATAGTTGTAGTTATAATAATTGAATTTATGATGAAGTTGTGCGTCAATAAAAATAGATACTGTGGAATACTTTATTTTCGCTGGAATTAATTTTCGCTGAAAAGGATTTTTGGGCGTTTTGCTTGGAATTTATTTTCAATGATTGTTCATGAGTTTAATGTGAAATATAGGAAAAAAAGTATATTCGCTGGATTTTATTTTCACAGAATCATCCCTTCAGCGAAAATAGCGAAAATAAATTCCAAGCGAAAATAAAGTATTCTACAGTAATAGTTTTTGTGATATATTGATGGAGTTGTTTATATAGTTGCCATGGCATCCACATTCACTCAATAGTTACCATCTCTATTAACTTTTCTCTCTTTCTCTCGGTGATGCAGATAATTTTCTTCTTAGTATTTAATTTAAAACTATTGAATATTATTTTAATATTTGATTGACTGACAGGAAAATTAAGTTGGGAATGAAAAACATTATTTATTTGATGTTCACTTACCACACTTCAACATAATTTCTATGTTTTCTATTTTGGGCTGTTTTTGTCTCAATATATGTCGTATGTCTAGAACACAATTTTATTTAGCACACCTCAGTGACTCAAGAATATAATGTAGTGTATTACCAAATCTTGTTGTCAGATATCTGTTATACATGTAGTAGAAATCTATTTTGAATACTTGCTGATGAGTTAACAAGTCTGAATGTAGTTTAGTAAGTGGTCGTGGAGGTCTTCTCTGACAGGATAATAGTTGTGACATTTAAACATTACAATTCCGGTAATGTCCCATTAGTAAATTGTTCAGAAATTTTTAAATTCAGAGACACAGTCTGCGCTATTCACATCGACATTGTACTGTAATTTTCTAATTGCAGTTCATATAATGCAGTAATACTATTAAGTTAAAGGGACGGGTTGACACCTGTGTAATCGCAAGAATTAAGACCTAAGTATCGATAACAACACATGCTAAAATGCAAAGTCTAGTGGGTTGGCGCTTATTTGTAAATGACATGCAATGGTAATCTGTCGTATGTGCAGTTGACAACTGCCTCTTGCTTTATTTATAATTGTAATTAAAAGATATGGGTTAAAGAGATGCTAAAAGAGGTGGAATGGGTCAGCCCATTTCACACGAAATTTAGGATTTTCAGAATCTGTCAGAAATTGTCTGAACGTGTGTTTTATTCGACGTTTGGGTCTGTGGACATATGTGGATATAAGATCAGCAGGAGTCTGAAAAACACCAAGTACCAAGTTTCCTGATGTATTCTTCAAATCTTAGGCTCCTCATTAGATTGTTGTATTGTATTGTATTTATATCAAACTGCACTACATGTATATCTGGCACAGTAATGTTTGTGTTTCTGGTTGTATCGACTTTGTTAGCTGGACTCTCATATCACTGGTTTTGCATAGCGTGGCGTACTGTTCAACAGTTCAGGAATGTCACATTGTTCATTCTCTCTATCATGATAGATGTGTAGTGTCTTAGAACTGGTTGGTTTACAGAGTCTGTCAGACGGGTTAGTCGTTAGTTGGTTGCCAGATGGACTCAAGGTGGAATTGACAAAATCCAAGGTTTGTGTGGTTCACATTAACGGACTGATGTCTCACCACTTTTTGATGTGACACATAGAAATTGATATGCATGGTGTTTTTGCTGTGTTTTTTAGTTTGGTGTCTTGTAGTATTAGTTTTACTTTTGTTGGCACAGCATGATTTTTTCATAAAAATGTATATTTTATTTCTGTTTAATTATTACTATTCTAACAAGTTTTGATATGAATTACTCAAAGTACAATTTCAAGTTTCATGGTAGTTGGCAGTGTTATAAAAAAGATCAATATGTAAACAACTGCCATGATTGTTGACATAATAAATTATTTCCATATTTTCAATTAACATTGGAAGACTCAAAAACAAAGTGTGCTGTATTACACTCTATAATATATAATAAAACCATACGTACTTGAGGGGCAGTAATAATGATAATAACAAAATTTAAATCAAAATATAGGAAAGCTGAAATGATTTTAATGACTGGAATAAATGTTAAAGTTAATTAATAACAGACACAGGTCATTAAATGATTAACAAATTTTGCCCAATCTCTTTGCAACATTTTGTCTTGAAAAATGTGAATCAAACTCCAACTCGCTGAGGTGTAGCAAGTTTTAAGATACCTCAGATATTTTGAAGTCCATTTCTAATTTTCTTTTTTGATGTACAGGAAACCACTCGTTATTTATGCAAGTACATGGACTTCTAATTCAGCTAAATATGCATGATCACGGTTATATCCCCCCTCCCAAATAAATAAAATAATTGATCAAAAGAATTTTTCCCAAAGTTCAAAAATTGATAAAGGTTGTCCTACCATACTAACTGCAACTGTATTTTTACTCGGTTCTTCAGCTTGATTCTCTGCGGGCTGAGTTTGAAAGCCAGATGCAAAGACTACAAGAAGAACTGGACACAGAGAGACAACACCAGTTGGGTACAGTGAAGTCGGTGCATGAACGAGAACGCAGCCGGGAATTACAGGAAATGAAAGACGAACACCAGAAGGAAATGGACGCATTGCGAGAAGATATGGACGTCAAACATCATGATATATTCGATGAAATGCTAAAGAAGGTGGATGAGAACCATGAGGAGGAGATCAGACAGATGCAGATAGATTCAGAGGTAAGTGGACATGACTGTTTCCTTACATCACTTCATATTATCAGGTCAGTTTGATTTTCAGTTGAGTTCATTGAAAGATTTTGATTCAGAATTGTAGACACCAGCTTCATTCAAAGTATTATGTAAATTATGCTAGTGTGACTACTCCCTGACCATGTGGGTATATCGGTTGACGATGGCAATAAAAAAATTCAACAAATGTCAAATATTGTCAACTTTCACAAAATAAGTCTATATTTTCTCAAACATTTTCAACAAGACCTGTAGGCTAAAGCCGTGTCCATTTTGGTCCAAAATTAACAGAATTTTATTCAAGAATGTGAAAAATCATGACATTTAGAGTATTATTCTATTCCATGCACTTTCTTATCTCCTTGGTGACCAAGTCATCAGAATTTAACAAAGTGGATTGGATGACATTTAGATCGTGATGCATGGAAGACGCAGATGCAGATGGCTGCATGTGTTATTAAAACAGTTGTGTGTAATATAAACAACAAATGTAAAAGTTCATGATAGTGATAATGTGTTGCATTATGTCAGCAACTAACTAGCTTTTTAAAACCCAAGTGGCTGACATCAGGATTCAAATTATGACAAATCATTTACAATGTGTTCAGAAATTTGCTGTTTATTATTCCCTGCCGAACAAACTTCAAAACGGGGACTCATAATTCAGTCTCCATCCAGAGTTATATTTCAGAACCCTGTGGACCAAATCTGTTTATTCTTTTTACATGTCTAGTACTTTATCTGGGACACACTGGTTTACAGCCATTTTTTTATGCATGCTTTGTCAGTTTTTGTTCAAATTTGGTACCGGTACATACAGTGTACATTTTAGATTACATGTCTATGACAAATCGTTTCGTGATCAGATCAAAGATTGCTGACTGGCGGCCATCTTGCTTTTTGACCGTACTACTACATCTCCAAAGCTTAGAAACCATTTTCAATCATGTTTGGCATATATCGGTACATCATACATATTGGAATGCATGTCCATGTCAGTTTGTTTCATAATCAGATCAAAGTTGACCGACTGGCATCCATCTTATTTTTTTGAAAATGTGGTATCTTGGACAGGATTTGTTGGTTTTCAAATTGATACAAACATTATACATGTTGAGATGCATGTACATGTATATGTCCAATGATGATTCATTTTGTGTTTCACATCTCTGTACATAAGCCTGGACAAATAAATTTCAGTTTGGATACAAAAAATGCATGAATAGCATATCCTGTTTAATTTATGACCATATATTACGATTTTGGAAGAGTCATTTAATACCGGTACATCTTATTTCTGTTGATACTAGACCAGACATTTATTCACTCTAAATTATTAACTATGCTTTTGGTCCATATTACTTTATTTTAGGCATAAATTACATTTCCACTTATTCCAACAGGGAATATGTCATTAACAATGACTTATTGTAAATTGATTTTCACTATATTTACTGTTCTCTAGCTAAAGTATCAGACAAATAGAAACCTGCATATTTCATTTCCTAACTACTATTGCCTACTTTGTGACAATCATTGTTTGTGAATATAACTGAGATAATGCTTCATGTCATTTCACTAAAATATCTACATGTATTAGTAGACTTGAGTCACTGCCCATGAGTTGCCCAATGTTTATTCAATTACTCTTTCCTATTTGCAATTAAATTTTTTTTTTTTTTCAAATGATGTGGTTGACAAAATGTGTTTTTCATTGTTATCTACATACATAACTGAAAAACTTGATTGTCAAATTCAGAAAGTTGAGCAACATATTGTTACCCTGTGTGAGGTATTCATTGTTCCCTATTCCTCTGCAAATGTTTAAGTACTAGCATAGTGGTAGATTTTTCGCATTTTATGTATTTTTATTTTTGAACCAATTGGATATTGCTATAGCCTTTATTGACAAAATATGGATTTATTCAAATGTGTCTTTATTAGTCCCCAATCAGGAATTAGGTGAGTCAGCATTCAACTTTTGCAGACACTCTTTTATCAGATTTTATAATACATGTATTCTCCTTGCAATCAAATATTGAATAAAAAAATGACATATTCTCATATTTATTTTATACATCTACTTTTAGAAGGAACAAAAACTGCACCTTGAAGCGTTGAGGATTACTATGGAGCAAACAAATGCAGCTCGCGTAGAAGTGATTCGTGCTGAGATGGATCATAGCAAAGCTAAAGCATTAGCGGATCTCAGAGAAAGTCTGATAGAAACACACAGGAATGATTTAGCAATGCTGACGAACCAACTACAATCAGAGTGGACAGACAGAATGGACACATTAACTGCAGAACATGAAAAAGAAATTGAGACGCTAAGAGGTGGGTAAAAGTTACACTAATGTCTCAGGCACAGAGCTGTTGAATTTTACATTGTGTGAGAGTAAATAAGGAGTGGAGCATGGATTCACCCATACTATTCATGTAGTTACAGTGATACTATAAATTACAAATTAATTGTACACCGTGTTTTAATTTCATTGACAAGTAAAATGGACTTTTCTTTATGCAAATGTCATGAATATTTAATTAGCTCAGCGACCGTGCATATGCTGTGTGAAAGGGTACTTAAAGCACTTT